AAACCCTAAATTTTAGGATTTTCACCCTATATAATCTCATTAAAAATCGTGAGGCTGACCTTCCATCAGCCTCTAAACTCTAAGCACATCAGTGCTAAACCCTAATCTCCATTTTAGAGTGACTTTTGGATCTTAAGAAGAAGAAGATAGTGAGAAGAAGGAGAAGATCCAGCAAACAAAGCCCTTGCTCTTGAGCTTCACCGTCTTGTGGACTATTGTAAGCACTCAAGATTCGATTTTTATCTTAGAGTATGACTAGATCTTGAGTTTACTCTTCATTTCATATCAGTCTTCTCGATTGCATGCACGGGGTTCATAAAGTTTGCAACTTTATGAATCTCTAGGGCAAAATGGTCCCAAGGTGGGCTAGACCTAGCTTTTGGTCAAGCATGGATGCCATGCATGGATTTTAGGGTATATTTTTCCCTCTTTGGCTATTTTGAGTTCAAGACATGCATTGGAGATGCATGTCCATAAAGTCTCCATATTTGGAATGTTTTGAGGATTAGAACCTCTTCTGGAAAAGGAGGGATTCCAGATCCCTAGAGTCTTGAACCACATGGCAAAGATTTTGAGCTTTCCAACCTTTGTTGAGGGCTTTAGAGCATTCAGAGTGGTTCTAGAGGAAAAAGTTGGAAACTTTATCCTTCTAGACACCTTTAAGTTTCAGATCTAAGCCCCAGAGTCCCTGCAATCAACATATCATCTGAATAAGCAAACTGGGGGAAACCTCAACGAGTTGCCCTGACAACTCGAAGAGTTGGATCGGGTTTCCCCATCTACTGGATATTGAGTGAACTCAACGAGTTGGATAGGGTTTGTCTTGGTTTATTTGACTCTGAAGGAACTCGACAAGTTGCTAGATGCACTCGACGAGTTGGGGTCAACATGGACTGTTGACCTTTACTGTTGACTTGGACGTTGATCATTGTTGACCAAGTTTGAACTGAAGCATTAGCTTACTGTTTGTTAATTTTTTTAGGTACTTCTGAGCCTAAGGGAAAAGGCAAGGCTTTATAGCACAACATGTACTCTCCGACATTTTATTTGATGGGACACTCTGATGTTTGAAATAAATGTTAATGTTATGGATTTTGAAACAATAGTCATTTCTACTTCATATTTTATGGGAATGTTTTGTTAATTAAAAATGAAAATTTTCTTTTAAAAAATTTAGGTCGTTACAAAACAATTATTCACTTAATCTTATGTGGGAATGTAGGTGTTGGCGTGATTGAGTACGTGTGGGTGTGGGGTGGGAGTAGGCATTTGTGTATGCTTTATGATTGTGGGTGCAAGATAGGTTATGTAGATGTGGTTGTAGGGTGGGTAGGGTGGAGTGGATTTTGTGGGGGTTTGGTGGTTTGTGTGTATGGTGTATGCATTAGGGTGGGGTAAGGTTGTGTGTAAGAGAATATTGGGGCGATGTGTGGCTGTACGGTATGATGGGGTAGGGTGAGTTAGTCAGCGTAAAGGTGGGATGGGGTAGGGTGAGTGTGTGTATATGGTGTGGGGTGGGGTGGGTGAATAGACGGGTAGGTGGGTGCCTGTAGGTGTGGGTAAAGGGGTTGGGTGGGGTAGATGTCAACTTTTGGATAGACTTGTTGGGTTTGCTTGGGCATGTATATGTGGACGTGGGGTGAGTAATAAGACCTTTTCGAGAGGGTGAATAATAAGACCTTTTGAAGAGGGTTAGTCTCCACAGAAGAGATAAAAGAAGAGAGAACTTGGGGCAATTTTTGATGTATCAATTCATAAAAAACAGAGTTCAATATATAAACTTGACTCAACTAGTGACTCCATAAGCTATGGAATTGAAAAGAAGTTGTGAAAGACTTATTCTTATTGACTTAATGAACTAAAGTACCATCAAAAGCATGCAGTAATGGAAGACTTAATGTGGCTGTTATTCATACTTGGGCTCCAAGTATTCATTACTCTTCAAAGCAGGGTGGGTCGGCGGATCACTCTTCTGGGTTGGGTGTGTGTAATACCCACATTAGTGTTGTAACGTCCCATAAATATGATCCAAAAGTTTCATTTAAAAAAATAAAAAATAAAATAGTATTCCAAAAATATTATTCATACAACCCAAATGAAAGTAAGTGTATCAACATCATATCTATCAGAGTAGTATCTCAAAAGCGGAAACATGTGATGTGTGCTCTGAGATCATCCTGAGCTCTCTCCTTTGAAAATCGTATGCACAAAACTTAGTGGATGCATTTTACAATTTATTCATTTTTATTTAGAAGATAATACAGTGTCTGCAACTGAAAATGTTAAAACTGTAAACTTATGAAAAAATAAAGTGAATATGCTTATGGTTTATCATTGAAGGGAAAAGTAAATTACAAATAAGTATAAAGACAACTACAAATAGCTAATTCAGAGAGAAATTTTAAACCACAAATTTCAAGCATAAAAAAATAAAACAATTCATACTAATGAGTAATGACTAAACAATTATGATGTATGTTTATGTATCTTTATTTAAACTTACCGGTGTTTTTTTGAAGCTGGTGATTATACTTTTTAACAACAAAACCCTTTTTTTAAGAAGTGAATGTGTTTTCTTGTTAACCAGACCTAAGAACTGCTTTTTGCAATTCCCGATAAAATTGCTAAATTTTAAAAAGGTTTATCTAAAAGAAAGAAACAATACAAGTATGAATAAAAATATAAGTTATTAGCAAAATTAACCATAAGGAACGAGATTGTTAATAATAATAATAATAATAATAATAATAATAATAATAACCAAAAGTTTCTCAACATTGGAAAACGACCATATTGTTGGAACTTAATGTTGGTGATTTGTATTACTAATATTATTTAAGTGTAATGAAATTAATTTGATGATCAATGCAATCTTGATACATATTAAAGAAGTTAGGGCGACACTAAGTGCACATTTGTTTGAGTCTATTCAACATTCAAAGTACATTGTTATTTAGTGGCAAAATCCCTAAACTGACGGGGTCCGGGGGGAGCGCCTGTGGTAACGAGGTTCAAGGGGTGGCAACCCGTGGCAGGGTCCAATGGGCAGAGCCCTGACTGGGAATCTGAGAAAATGCATTAAAATTTGAATGAGAGAAAAATAACGTGGTTTTTACCCTAATCTTAAACACGGTTTTAGTAACAGTTGAGACGGTCACGAAACTACCATATGGTGGTTTTTTGGCAGTTCTCAGACAATGTAGTTTTTAGACAAATGAGTTATCTCCTAATATTGGTCATTCTCGTTTTTTTGTGGTACATCCCATGATCATAACATCTTTTCATTCTATGTTCTTGATATACGTTGAGTTTTATTCGATATAAGATTTTGAGATTACCATCGAAATACTTTAATCTGAAAGTGTAATTCATGATTCTTAATTTCCCAAGTATTCTAAATAACCCGATTTTTAACACTGAATCTTCTATTGGACTATTCACTTTTGTTCATAAATTCCAAAAGATATAAAGGTATATCGAAATATGATCATCACATGTGTTCATATATTTTTGAATCTTATTATCGATCGAATGCACCATTTAATAATTTAAATTGAGTTTATGTAATCATTTTTTAGAGTCCATATTTGTAGTACAGAACAATTCGAGCAAAAACACAACTTTATATCATATATGGCTCCAAATATACATGTTATATTGCGAATTTAACCAATGATGTCAACTTTTCTAGGTTGGTTGACTTAGTGGCATCAAATTCCATGTTACATACAAATCAGATTCAGTTGTCTTTTCAATAACCTAGATCAAATGCAGTTATGCTGTTCATTGGCGTCATGATTATAAATATTTTCATAATATTGTTACTAGTATGCTTCTAAACAATTGTATCTTGTTTATCATGTTTTAGAAAATGTTGCTATTCGATTCATTGGGGAAGAGCCTAACTCAAATCTTATATGTCTCTCTCTTGTTTTTCATGTTCTTATCTCTTTTGGTTTCTTCAAAATGTGTTCTGTTGGGAAAGCATATGACTAAGAGCCTTGCTTTGTGCAACAACATTCTTACTTTGCCAGTTTAAAGTGGCTTCAACACTACTCACAAAGAATGTTTCTCAATTTGGTGGATGAAATTGTTGTGGGATATTTTATCTTCCATTTATGCTTAATGGTATGTTGGAGTTTTCAAATGAACTTAGTGGGGGAAACTAAGCCTGGTATTTCTGCAAGGTGGATATAGAAAGTTGGTCTGTAGATATCACATAACAATGAACTGGGGGTAGATTTTGGATAAGGCTTTTTGTTTATGGGCTATAGATAGAGATTTCTGATAGTGTTGGGAAAGCTTAGAAGGATGGATGACTTTGCAACGAAGGGGATCTGACTTGGGGGATTGTTTTCTAACAAGTATAGTAAGCAAGCACCATTTGGGATTTTAGGTTACTATTGATCATAATAATTTTCAATTAATCAGCAGGTTATAGTCCACATGCTGATTGGTATCCAAATAAAAACCAACACAACATACTACCAAGATAGACAATTAACCACTGAACATTATTCATATAATATGGTAAGCAATTGCAAATAACAGAAGCAATATAAAGCCAAGGACATAACAATGTGAGTAACATTACTCATTTTGTCCACTCCTACTCTTTGAAGTTATGTGATCATACCAACACTTATATGGAAGCATCACAGTTTAACATTACAAAATAGAGTAACAGAATAGTTGCAAAATAAATATAACTTAAAACGTCTGCTATTAATTTGTCTTCTGGCCTTCTAGAAGGAAAAACCCTGAAGACATGAAGTGTCTATGAGATTTCAATCTAAGACCTCTTAAAACATGGTCACAAGCCTTACCCATGAGGCCAACCGATGAACATTTTTTATTTGTGCATATTTTTCACAAAAAAACTGTGAGATTTAATCATCATTAATGTTAGAAACATTGATCTCATGGCCAACGTGTTTCACAACTTCAATTACTACTACAATACAACTGATCATGCAAACGTAGTGTTTCCATGTATGAATTCACAAAGAACGAATCACCTTTTCCACAAATCCCAAGATCATTAAAGTGTTTAGAATTCGGACATAGACAACAAGTGTACCAGGTCGAAAAAGACCATCTTTCACTTCCATTATAAGTTTTCCATTTTTTTTAAATCCCAATATCTTTTTTGGCCCATGTGGTGCCTTAATGGTGTATAGCTTTGTAAACGATTTTCCAACACCATCTTCCATCATCCATACATCACAAACACAATTCTTATATTCAAGCATGACAAGAGACTCCCTTACCTTAGAAATACACAACTGTGTGTTAGGGTGGTGAGCTAAACTATCTGGAAGGTCTACAACTCCAAAACTCTCATTAGTCATATCAAATGACACAATCACATTACAACTCCTTAATCTACCATCTATGGGCACCTTGTGCAAAGCACACCAATAGATAAACCTATCAATAACTACCTGGAGGAAATGTAACTCGAAATGACTTAACAGATTGCTAGATAGAATTCTCCATTTCCCAGAACTCATCATATAAATCTTAACTTTCCAAGGGTTGTTGATTTCACTTTTCTCTTTATACCACCAATTGAATTGTGTAATCTTGATGATCATAGGGTCAATAGTGACAGGACAAAAACTCCAAAACCAACAACTATTTCATGTCCCACATACATCTCATTAGGCACAACAAAAACAATCGATTTTCTAATTGAAGGGTTCCATGGAAAAGCCATCCCAGTAAAGCTGCAAAATATATCGATTAATTCCGACTAAAAATTTGCTTAATTGAAGTGGTGGACTAACACAAATTTTTAACGTTTAGCAAGTTTTATCGCATTTGAGTTGTTAGCGAACTAAGAAAAAAATAGGGTACGTTTAACATGCTCTTACAACCTTTCATCGTGGATGGTTCCAAACTTATACGTCCAAAAGTTGTTATTGGAACTCCCACCAAATATGAGGCACACATGCTCTTATAACCTTGATCGTTGATGGTCCAAAAATAAATAGATAATGCTATGAAGATTGAGGATATTTATGTATTTTTTGAATTAAGATCAATTAGTGTATAAATATTGGAATCGGTATGTATATTTTTTTAGTTTGCTAACAACTCAGGTGGAAACACGTTAGATGATAGCGGAAGGGGGTCTCTCTTCAAAAGAGAGATGCTGTTCAATCACCATTGATGGCTTATTTATTACTTTTATGCATTTTGTGTATGTTTTTTTTCTAGCAAAAGTGGATTTTTCACATTGAGTTACTGTGAAATTTCACTTGGGATCTTCATCTTTCAAATGGCACAAAAAATTCTATTAATGATCAACAAAAATCTAAATTGGCATGCATGCTATTGCAGCCAATATCATTGTTTGATCTCAAGACTGGGTGGAGTATACATCAGTATTTTGGATAAATATTAATGCTTTAGAAATGAATACCAAAGAAATAAAGATAAAATGGAGAATAAAAAATTGTTTAGATAGAAATATAGTACCAAAATACATTGAAACATGTTTCTATCGTATTGTTATCGTATTGGTTGTTACGAATGTGGTATGTGTGTATCTAAAAGATCTCAAGGTACCCGGATGTGGAATGAGTGCTATGACAAAGTTGACTTATCTTCATGCACTTAGTTTTCTAAAAAAATGTCGATTCTATATAAATGAAATATATACTTACATAGGAAATATTTGATTGTAGTAATTTCTTTTCGTCGAATGCCTCTTTAAATTAAAAATATGTTACGGAGAAATACATAGGAGTAGCTCTCGGGACATGAATCCACACCCTTTATGCCATAGAGGTTGTGGCATACAATTTTTAGATTAATTATTGAGATTTAAAGATTGCATATACTGACTTACTGAGGAAACTGATGGTTAATTAACTTTATTTATCCGAAACTTTTTATTTTTGCAGCCGTTTTGGTATGTTCTTTGACAGCCAGAACACGTGTGTGTTAAGTTTCCGATCTTCAGAGAAGTTATCATTGATTTCTTTTCATCAAAATACCCAATCATTCAAATGGATAAATATAATCTGATTTTCATAAAATTGGAGTAGTGCCTTTCTTCCATAAAATCATTTCCTTCCGAGAATTTAAGTGGTGCATAAATATAATCTGATTTTCTAAAGACCTTTTAAATGATACAAATCATCATATTTGTTTTGCTAGATTCATTTATCTTATAAATGTCAACTCCAAGGGGGGCGGAGCTTGGATTTTATGATAAGGTGGCCTACAACTTAGTAAGAAATTAAAATATTTTTTATATAAAAATATCATAAGAGTGTAAAATTCGAAAAGAAATTGATATAGAACAAAAATCGTCTAAATAAGAACTAAATTGATTTTTAGTAGTATCACTTACCGGATGCAATTGTAGGTCACACAAAAAAAAATCAATGGTTATTTTTTGTTTATTATTTACCCTATGATTATAATTAGGGATACCTTATAATAAACCAAATTATCAACCGAAAAGTACTAATTACAAATTACAATAACTAAAATTAAAATGTACCTTACAGAATCTTGTAGATGTAGTAGTGTAGCCATAAAAAAATTATTAACTACAATATCGCGGAGGAATAAAAATAGTTACTAATAACCTTGGTTAATCGTTAATTACAAATGCTATTTATTAACAAATGAGGATATTATCAAAACATGTAGTGAAAACTTAATCATAATTGATTAACTTCTACCCCCTTAGAAAACCCCATTTGGTATATATTTATGTCACGACATGTTTTGATAATTTTGGGGGTACATAAAGAAAACCCTATTTGGTATCTATGTCAAATCTTCCATAATAATAAAGACAAAAGACAAAATACAAAAGACAAAAAAAGGAGAAAAAAATAGGGGTGCATGGAGGGATTTCAAAAATTAGAGGGGGGGGGGGGGGGGGGGGGTACATACTTTGAGATCATGTATATCAAATTAGAGATCTGTTCCAGAAACTCGTTGAAATTCAATACGTTGACATGCTACTAAATCCAACCCAGTGGAGTTAAATGAATTTTTTTCTCACTTTTGTGTAGCAAAATGAATTTATATAATGTATTACTTTAATCAGTAATATCCACTCATCAACTAATTTGTAAGAACGTTATTACTATGCAATGTTTTAAAAATTGCTTTGACCCGGTCAGTCGAACCTTGGACTGGAAACCTCGGAAGGAAGATGTTTAAATATCATCGGTTTATGTCTATTTTGAAACAGAAACGAACCGACCGTTTTTTACAAAATATCGGTTGAACTGGTTAAATGAAACTAGTTGAACTGATTTCATTGAATAAAAACACATGAAAAAGAACCATTTTACATAATAAACTTTGATGGTCTTTTTCACATCAATTTAGATTTTTCTAAATAAAAAATATGGCGAATAGTATGAAGTTTTTTTTTTTTTTTTTTTTGATGCGTTTGTATTCTTCTGAAACTATATTTTGTTTCAATATTATACTTTATTTTCTTTTTGATATATGTAGATTGATATAAAATTTATGTTTATGTATTATGTTAATGTATTTGGATTATCTAGAACTTGTTTTCATGTATATTTTTAATGTTTTGATTTTTGGACATCAAATTCTTGATTTCTGTATATATTATTTACTAGGCGAATGCCCGCGCGTTGCACGAAAAACACCTATATAGTTGAAGCCTTTACAAATATATGTTTCTTTAAATATAACAATAATGTTGTTAAATTTGATATTATAATTCATATACTAAATTAATATAATATATTGATTATTTTGAATTATATGATAATATATATACATCTAATAAACTGCATTATCTTAATAGTTTGAATGACTTCTACCTGTAAATTAAACGTGAATAAAATTAAATATAATATATCGTTTAATGTTATTTATAGTTGTCATTATTGTTAATTAATTTTTTAAAATTTATTTTCTTAATGTTTTAATTTCAATCATTATAATTATTTAAAACATCAAACATTGTTTTTTTTTATTATTATTTTGAATTTAACAATATAATCATTTATATAGAGTTATTTTTAACTATTGTTACTCTAAGTTATATTAAACTACTTATTTGAAAACTTTAACGATTATAAAAATATCTATAGAAAATATTTTAGTTAAATTGAGATTATAGTTTAGTTTTTGCATTTATTACTAAAATTTATCACTTTTAACTAATTACAAAATATTCTTTGGTTTTTTTAAGTGGAAATGAAATTTATAATTAAGTTGATACTGTAATTTTATATTTAAATTAACAATTTAAGTATTTTTGTCCAAACTGTTCAAAAGTTGTAGCTTTAAATTGATTATGGTTTACATACAACAGCATTTTAAATCTAATAAATTAAGTATAATATGTTAAAAGTTAAAGTCATAACTTTTTAGGTAGAAGTAAGATATTATTTTAAAATTGAAATTTAGTTTATTTATGATTACACTTTAGGTTTGATATTTATTTAACCCTATTAACGAACTTATAATCATTATTAGAAAGACACTAGAATTTATCACTTTTAACTATTTACAAAATATTTTTTGGGTTGTTTAACGTAAATTAAATTTATATTTAAGTTGACCATATAATGTTATATTTAAATTAATAATTTAAGTATTTTATACAAATTATTTCAAAATTGATTCCTTAAAATGATAATGGTTTACATCCAACGATATATTAACACTAATAAATTAAGTATAATATGTTAAAAATTTAAAAGATAACTTTATAAGTAGAAGTAAAGATATAATTTTAATATTGAAATTTAGTTTATATATCATTACAATTTACGTTTGATATTTATTTAACCTTATTAACCAGTTATAACTATTAATAAAAAGAAATTGAAAAGTCAAGGGAGTTTCAAATTAATATGGTGAAAGGAAAAATGCATGGGAGTTTCAAATGCATGAGGTTCAAGAAAAAATGCTAGCTTTATAAGATATATAGATATAGATATAGATATAGAAAGGAAAATAGAAAAAATATATATTACAATTATAGTAACTAGTTAATCCGACGGTCGAACCTGTTAAACTAGTTGAACCAGTAATTGGCCACCATAACGGTTCAACTGAAAAACCGATTTTTTAAAACATTAGTACTATGTTAAACTAAAACATCACAAAAATACAGTCCAAATTTTTTTTATAAAACTTATAACAAAACCATCAATCATCCGTCATCATAAAGAAAATCAAGAATCATATATCTCACAACATCATGTCAAATACTGTATCAAAATCACATGAGATAAATATCAAAGTCTAAACATCCCAGGATAACACTGTTGTGTGTGTCATGCGATCATCCTAAGCTGTAAGCACGAAGCTTAGTGAGTCTCCCCAAACTACCACATACAATACACATAACATGCAACTAGGAGATACGGGCCCCACCCACTCTCATGGAGATTCGGGCCCCACCCACACTCCGCTGTCTAGGAGATTCGAGCCTGGCCCACAATCTGTTGTCTAGGAGATTTGGGCCTGCCCACACTCTGATGTCTAGGAGATTTAGGCCCCACCCACACTCTGCTATCTAGGAGATTCGGGCCTCGCCCACACTCTGCTATCTAGGAGATTCGGGCCCCACCCATAC